TTGGATCCGATTAAGTGTTTTGAATCCTTCGAAAGCTGACTGTGCATATTTCGGTAAGTCGGTTATTGCAACCAGTTTCTGAAATGCTTCGCTGTAAACAACAAATATTTTCAAAATTTTGACCTTTTTATTATGTTGAAGTCAAGGATTTAATATTTCAGAGAAATTCACCTCATTTTCCTCGAATGGCTTTGGTTTAAGAGCTGGCACATGAACCTCTTCATAACTTTTTTTCTGCTTACGATATGAGCCATCCGGCAAATGACAACGCTGTAAGTATAGATAGATAATTTCTGAGTATTTTCAGAATGTTCGGTAATGATAAGCAAATTAATATACTACATTTTTTTAAACTTGATAACTTTAAGTGGGTTCACTGGTCTCAGTGTCGATTTCATCACTGGAAAAACAAATACAGTTTACTATTCTTATGCCTCTCTTAATCAAGCAATAATCCATGCTCTTGGCGGCAAACATTTCCATAAACAAAATACTAAAACCGAGGATGACAATTTAAACAGCAGATGCCCGTTACAAGAGCATGTAAAATGGCTTGAATTAATGCACAATTCACATAAATCTGACTGTCAGTACCAGATAATATAAATGAATCGTGATAAATCATAATTTTGTACTTCCAATTACTTTCAAAAAAAGCCACCTACTATGGATTGCTTCTGATCTAGTAACAAACTTGCCAAATAATAAACTACTCAAACAAAAAGACAATCTTTCAGAAAATAATTAAAGCAATATATGTACGGAATATAAAAAGGTAATAAGGAAGTGGAAAAGTATGAGCCATATTTAACAAAAAGGAAATGAGGAAAGAAATAAGATATGTAAAAAAGAGATAATATACTTTGTTGCTCATTAAATGTGAGCCTTGTGAGAATGCAAGATCATCCAAATCAAGCACTTTCCGTGATTGTAACCAGTTACCCACTGCTGTTCCTTCATCATTACCTCCTTCAGCTTCAGCTATTCTGCGCTGCTGTTGTACTCGAGCACGCTTTTCTCGTTCAGCCTATAGTAAAAATAATTAGGAAATTATTGATAAATTGCTCATCTGAGATAAGAATCCAATTTAAATCCTTCATCTGTTACTTACTTCAACTATATCTGCACTTTCTGTTTCGTGGAGCTCAGCGAGAATATGATGTAGCTCTGGTCGGCTCAACATTTCCTTCTCGATGTTTTCCCTTTCTTTGCCTTCCTGTGCTTGTTTCAAAAGAGTACAGTACAAAATCATTTGCCGATGTTGGCGAACCACTTTGATAAATTCAAACTGATCAAAACCAAGCAATAATACCAATTGATTCTCGCAATCACGGTCATCGGATGCCTCCTTAAAATAAAGCTTATAAATATAAGAATTGGACATGCTAGTGCTGAAAGGCTACAGTGCATTAAACTGTTTCATACAGAAAATTATACTAAAGAAATAAAGCTTTTACCTTTAAAACCTGCAACACTTCATTAACTTTCTGCTGTGCTACAATTGGATCTTTGTAGAATTTTGAGAGTGACCGCTGAATCCAATGTGCATCTATATCGCGAGCATGAAGATTTCCTTTCCGCTCACCAGCCGCGTTCTATAACAAGGTACGTCACGCATTTATATATAACTTTCGTGTACTGTTTCTCATTTCCTCATTTGATAAATTTGATCTTAATAAATGTTTGGTTATACGGTAGCAAAGCACTGGGTGGATTAAGTAAAATGATCATATAGGCATCCACTAGCATCACTACAGATACAAAAATCGGTTGATTCCGATTTTTAGAGATTTTAGATTTTTAGAGGTTAAGATTCTATCGGCTTAAGGACAATGTGTACAAAAGTTTTTTGAATAAATGACAAAACAATCAGAAATTCAATATTCACAGAACTCAATTATTTGAAAACGTTCAAATGATTTTGTATCAAGTACAGGTCCAAAAACTCTGAAAAAACCTCATCGTCCTCATCGACATATCGAGCTTTAAGTGTTTCTTCAAAAACAGCTTCAACGCCACCTTCATCTTCCCCACCTGAACCTTCTTCTTTCACCTCCTCTTCCATACCTTCATCGCCCTCAACTTCTTCATCAGAATCATCGAACTGTACATTTACACCAATTGTTTCATCTATTTCATCTTGCTGAAAAAACTGATGAAAGAAAAACTCTTCATAGAGATTATGAAATTTCTGTACCATGAAAATCTACCATGATAAGAAAAATCATGATAAAATAATTTCGACTATAATGTCTTCTGCATAATGTTATTCTTATGAAAAAAAATTTACATTGTCGAATTTCCCTTTCTCGTCATCGACTGAAAAATCTGTTATTTTCTTAGCGAGATTAATCAGCACAGCAATTCTTTCATCTGTCAGCAATCCAAGAAGAAGTTCTACCTCCTTCTTACGATCCTTTTCACGAATCTTGTCTGACTTTAAAACTGCCAGGACTTCATCAGCTGCACCACAAAGAATGTCACGCGGCTACAAATAACACATAAAAATAAATGAAATAAATATCAGTAAAATAAATATCAAAAGTAAATAAATATCAAAAGCTAATGAAAAAAAACTTTTCAGTCGAAAGCTATTAAACAATATGTGCACATGGACAAAGCAACTGAGGGAAATAGTTTTCCAATATATTAATAGAACTAGTTTGATTATAACTGCACAAAAATACAAATTCCAAGCGTGACTGTTTGTGAATGTAAATTATTTTCAAAAGTTTTGATAATTATGCAACAATATTTAGAATTTAACGTTTTCAAATCAGAACTACCTGATCTCCGATAGCATCTTGTATGTAAGCCAATACTGCTTCATACGTCTGCCTTGTTTCTTGAGTTCTTGGCTTGTACAAACCCATCAGTTCTGTGTTTGAATCTCCTAACAAAGTGTGCGATGTGGTACTGTTTCCCGTGATACTTGCATCGTTTCTCTTTTTTCTGAAAATAACGGTATAAAGCAAAATCAAATTATAATGGATTTAAAAACGGTAACAAACGACAAATTATAAGCTTAAAAAAACCATCAAAGAAAACTCTTAAAATCGTAAAATAATGAATTCCAAAAACAAAATCATGTTACAAGGGAATGGTTCCAAATTTAAAGGACAATCAAGTGCAGAACTATAGAGACTTTTTTCGGTTAATCCATTTAATGTTAGAAACTGGTTGAATTAAGCGGCTCATCAACAAGTTGTTTATGATTCTTCCTGTTTGTTATAATTTACTGCAACTTACTTTTTTGTTTTCTTGGTGTCAATTACAGGTGCTTTGGCTCGCTGATACTTATCGCCCATTTTAACACCAGCCAAGACCTCTTTAGTGAGTGGCATAACTTCACCGGTAGGCTCATCGCGACCACGACGATCTGTGAAGTTGAAGTCGACTTGGAGCACAAGATTACTATTCTGAAATGACAAGCATTTAATTCAAACATTTGAAAATTACTCCTGTCAGTAGAAAGCCATTTAATTTGCAAACAATCTAAAGTTAACGCAATCAAACTAGGCGTTATGCTGACGTAGTTGCACTGATCAAACCCTGAGGATTATAACTTGAGATATATTACCTAATTCTTTACAAACTACAAAGAAAAGCTACCTGTCGATACTCGTACTGCTGTACGCGGGCTATCTCATCAGCCATTACCGTGAAGTTTTAATCTGACTAGCACACTTCCCTGAAATAAAATCCCATAACTTCTCTAATACAACATTCGCTTTATTTTTGTTAATCGAATGAATCTTCATAAAATCCACTGAAACATTGAATTTCTTCTTATCAGTAAATTGGAAAAAATTCAGAAAATGCACCGTAGTTACAATAATAATACATGCAAACAAGCAATCATTACTCTTCGTTCTCCCTAACTAAATATTTTCAATCTTTAGCATAACTGCTGGACTATCCCTCAATATATTACTCTTTCTTATCTCCAATCGCAATACTCTTTCACCTCATCGCTATAGCCTCCCTTGACAAATCTCATACATTGTGCTCCCCCTAACTATTAGCACATCTTGCAATTTTACACCTTAGTTATTACTGCAACTACGGAAGATTATAACTTGCGTCCACTGCATGAAACGACATGTGGGATGGTCGCAATGCAATGGACTGGGTCAAAAAGAATACTGCAGAAGACAGTTAAGTTGGAGAATTATTTCTAAGCTAAACAAAACAAAATAACTACAGGGAAGAGTAGTGCCTACTGCGGACAGTAGTTTTATTTTCTTAATACAGTTACCATCGCTCTTATTTGAAAGTTAATTCGATTTAACAATCATTTTATTACTCGCTTTACTTCTCGACAGGATAACAGTAGGCACAAAGACTTATTACAATATGAAACAAAGATTCAAGTTCAAATAAACTACCCATGTTTGCATGCAAACTTATCATACATACTTTAATAATGAATGTTTCACTCAATTGCAGGACAAAATTTAACGGATTCCAGATCTGATCTTTCGTCTCAGACCACACTGAATGGTGGAAGTATCGGTGGTGGAGTGTTTTAGGTGCTGCTGAGCGGTTCGATGGGCGTATTGGCTTAGTAGTTTGATAAGCAATGAATAGATGGATAATATGGGAGTTAAATGAACAGGAAGTGGAGGATGAATAAAACTTTTGACATTTCACGAACTTGTTGATATTTAGCAGGCAATTGTTAGTACTGAAGGAAATTACAGAAGAAAAGAAATGGAATACATTATCTTGAACTCGATTAGGATATATTGTTGGTGTAGTTAGAATGTACAGTAACTTCTCTGTCTGATAATCTATTATGTATCTCTATCCTTCCATCTTAATCTGCTAACTTCGTGTGAACGGCTTTGTGCAAGTCGGTAAAGGTTGTGTGGTTGTCATATAAGAGGGAAATATATTCTTAATTACATTCTCTGTGCACACAATTAAAAAAATCAACCAACTTTCCGGACAAGTTACGCTTGTAACCGAATAAACATTCGTCTAAAATAGAAGCAACAATGTCGACTATGCTGAAGACGTTTTATGTGATTTTGATATTAGCATCTTTCGTCTTCATTGGCACTGGTAAGTTTCCTTGCATTATTCATATTAATTACTCAACAGGAACCTTTCCATTCTCGTGATTTAAACTGACGTGTTCAGTGTGCGAAAAGCATGCTAAATTGTATTCTGTTATTCTCGAAAAAAAATTGCGAATTCTTTCGGGAAACGAACAAACAAAAGTATTGGAAGCTAATTTACTCTAAATCTCATCAGTTGTACTGCAATGAACAGTAATAAGACAGTGAAGTACAGCAAATGAGAAAATGTTGAGCAGGGCGAAAAAAGTTAAAATTAAAAATTAAACTAAAAAGAAATAGGAAATTGCCAATGCAGTCATTGTGTAAATGGAACATTTTTCGATGACAACTTAGATAAGGATTAAGAAAGTGTTTGTAATTTGAACCTGACTTATAGATTTTGCTGATTTTCCAGCATATCTGATACGATGAATTACACTCTATTATCTTTCAGCATTCTATTTCTTGTTTACTGAGCAGGGTTATCGGTTTGACATCGGATGGTTCTTGACGGCGACATCACCACATATGTGGGCTGGTTTGGGCATTGCTTGCTCGTTGTCTTTATCTGTATTGGGAGCTGGTTGGTATGTCACTTCTAAATGTATTTTTTAGTGATTTGAAAGTTTATTTATTCTAAGAAATCTCTAATCAAACCTGCACTGAGACCATTTTTTTTTTGTTTTTTAATTTTTCAGGGGAATATTCACGACAGGAGTATCAATTTTAGGCGGTGGTGTGAAAGCACCTCGAATCCGAACTAAAAATTTAGTTTCAATCATATTTTGTGAAGCCGTTGCTATTTTCGGGATCATAATGGCATTTGTATTCCTTGGCAAAATTCGTGTAAGCCTTTCAACTTCAAAACTGGATAAATAAACACCCGAGTTATGGAAGAGGAATTCTCGGTTTTTGTGTAAAAATTTTTTTATCGTTCTCTCTGCCCTCCTTCCTCTTATTTTTTCTTCTCTTATGTTATTCATTTTTTTGTTGGCTACATGGAACCAAAAATGAAATTCAATACAATTGAGGTTAACTGCGTCGCTGCGTCGCACTGCGTCGCACTACTTTTCAATCAGAGATTCACAGGATGATTTTTATCAACAATCCCTCTAATTTTTGGTACCTTTAGTGTGGTAGTAATTGAAGTTCGAAAATTTCTACCAGTTATTTATAGAAATAAACATATTCACGTATTTCTGAAGGCAGACAGCAATGCATGGCTTACAATGAATCTGATTTCTTTCATAGAAGTACTGATAACAAGTACTTTCCATATTCTCTACGCTAATTTTCACTTCTAAATATCAAATTTGTAGGGATTCAATCGAGCTACTGCATCAGATGTGGTGCTGTCTAAAAACATCGCCAGTGGGTATATGATTTTCGGTGGTGGACTTACTGTCGGTTTCAGCAATTTCGTGTGTGGCCTATCAATAGGCTGGTTTTACTATTATAGGATCAAGCTTCTATATTTATGTTTTTAAAAGCTTGTATTTCTGCATGCACTACACTTCAGTAAGAGGATTGAATTCAACGCACATATAATCACACTAATTTAATATTTAAACAATCTTTATTTCCACTGAAGGTGATCTCCAAAGCTTTTTGTTAAATAGTGTTTAGATTTACAAAATTTTAATAAAATTTTCACAGTTTTTTGGTATATAAACTTTAAATTTAAATTAAATTGTAGGCATTGTGGGCAGCGGTGCAGCCTTGGCTGATGCTGCAAATCCAGCTTTGTTCGTGAAAATTTTAATTATTGAAATATTTGCTTCTGCAATTGGTCTTTTTGGTATGATTATTGGCATTGTGCAGGTAAAGGAATATTCAACATTTTTTTTCAAGAAACTATCTATGGGAATGCAATTTCAATATTTTCAGAGTCACATTTTACAGTTGATTTAGATTGAACAAGTATAAAACGCGTTCATTCCTGTAATGTGTAGAATTTGTTATTCAATAAATGTAACATTTAATAAGGTCCCTTCCCTGTCTTGGAAACCACATCTTTTTAATTTTATTAATTACTACTTAATATGTAGTTAAGATAGCTTCAGCATTTTTTGATATATCACTGAAGCATGCATGTTTCAGAATCGGACCAGAAGAAAATTAAATTCGAAACATTTTCCCTTGAAATTGCACTTCTGAGGCAAAAAATTTCTGAATTCGTTGATCATAATTTGGAACTTATACTTTTTATTTGCAGACAAATAAGGTTGCAATGGGTGACCAGATTTGATAGCGGAGTTTGAAGCTGTTTATCATTTACAACCTCTATAGCTGCGGTTTTACTTCTGAGAAGAATCTTTAGAGGGCGAAAGATTGTTTTAGAAATAATTTCTAAATTTAAACAGCGCATGTGATTAACATGTACTGCTTAATTATCTGCCTTATGCCAAATATTTCTAGAAGACACATTCCTTCAAACAGGAAAATAAAAATATGAAGAAGCAAAAAACAATTTTATTGCTAAAGTATATTTGTTTGGATCTATATACTTATTATATTATCAGTCCCATTTTTTGATTAGGACTGCTTTTGTCTCGTTTATCTTTGCTAATCTTTGTATTTTGTGATTCATTCTCATTGCTGTCCTAAACTTTTTCTTGCGAGGAGACTTTTAACGAAAAGCCTTCCATTTAAAGTGACCGTATAGTGCTCTGAACCATTGGAGGTCGTGGCCTGGTTTAGATGAACCAAGTTTTCTTACTCGAGTAAATTGCAACAGCAGGGAAATCTTATTTCTGTAGACTTTTTTCTTTCTCTGTTAAGAGCATAGTATTTCTGAAGTTTTCTTTTTTGTGATAGTTGTAATAGTTGTGACTGCATCAATTCAATTACATTAAATATGAATATCTCATTCTTGTTTCTCTTATTTCGCTTTCGTTACGAAAAATATATATTTGAATTTTTCGTATGACCTGTAAAATTTATTCAAGCTTTCATATTCCCACTCACTTCCGCTGTGTCAGTGATGCTATTCATTGTTTTGTTCATCTTTTGATGTAATAACCGCTGAGTAGTATTTATATTTTTGTAAATAAATAGCTATGTTATGTTATGCCTTAAACCATTTTACCGCACCTATCATCACTGAAACTACCAAATTGCTCAGGTGATTTCATTGATTTCTATTTACATTCAAGGTAATTATGGTTTCTGCTTTAGCATCTGTAGATCCCATGAAACCTGAAAACTGGAATAGCGAACAGCGATCCTAATAGATACCACTGACCGTTATTCACAAAAAGTCTTGGATTTTCTGAAACACATTTTTATGGTAAATCGGCAATCAACAAAGTAACTCGGCTTTGTTGTTTTTCCTGCTTTTCTCTACGATATTATATATTTTCAAGTAGTTGAGTTCCAGAAAAAACTCTGATTTATCGGAGTCAGGTCTGGCATATGGAGGATAACGTATTTTGATGACTTCTAACAATAAGTTTTTGTACTTAAAAATGAATGTTTTTATCATTCTAGCTTCAAACTTGTTGATTATATCTGTGCCTAATGAAAATCACTTATCCGATATTAACAAGAAAGATGGAGGCAGCATTTAAAATGCAAAATTGCGCGAAATTTAATGAAATCATGTAACAAATGCTGAATAACGGGTGTGTTTGAATGGTATGTGTTATCCTAGAACTATACCGAATTCTCGAGTGTTTCCTTTTGTAAATAAATTTTAATTTGATGATATCTTTTCTCGGCAATATGTTGGATTTTTGCCATATATTATCAATCAATTACGCAGTTTATTTTAATAGATAGCAATGTAAATAGTAGTTATATATTGTTTCAATAATGATAAGTAACAGAGTAGCGCAATCTCGACGACACGATCACTGCAGAACTTTAGTTATACTTCTCTTTCTTGAATGATTCAAATGCTCGGTTCAATCATTCAAAGTGTGAAATTTTGTGTTGCCTACAAATTTATAAGTTTTTTTCTTGCTATGATCCTCAGCCTGACATTTTCAAACTTTAATTTTTTTGGCACTAAATTTTGCAACTCTTTTCATTTCTTATACATTATTGATGGTAACTACTTTGAAACACATTCTATCCTCGAAATTCCTACTTTTCTCTATTCTTGAAAGTTCTATCTTTTGGTAATCGAAAAAGCAAATTTCAACATTTTTGGTTATCATTAATCACTACAACAACTCAGCACAAGCTATTTTTTTCAATTTTGTGCCTTCTAAAAACTAAGAAATTATGTTCTTTCAAATATCACCCACTTCGCCAAATTTTCCGATTTTAACTGAGCCTACTAAGTACTAGTTCTCTCCGCCGGATCCGAATCAGCGATGCATAGTGGAAATGATGTCCAAAGATAATCCAGAATTTCCCCACTCTGTTCTCTCTATTTCTTAAGCTTATCAATACTAATTTATGTTATATTTAGGGTTAGTCCATGGATAATTTATTATTAAGTAATTTTCAAGTTCCAATGCCAATGATATTCGATACTTTAATGATAAATTCGTATATTTCATGAAGAAAACTTTATGAAACTGTTTATAAATGCTTTTCAAGTATGATGGATGAAGTTGAATTACCGGGCTTTCAAAGATTGTTGGATTGATGTATGGATCGAAATTACAATAAAAAGGAAGAATGACATTTTCAAAATGCAAATTCCAATTATTGATTTAAGGAAAGGAAGGAACGAGGAATCTCAGAACAAGAGGAAGATGACAGGTACTCCTTCGTTTTAACATACCTTTTAAATTTTAATGTAAATATTCATTCATTAGCTTATCATTGGTATCTGCCAATCGTTTTTATGGGTAGTGTTCGAATTTATCATCGTTATCAGTAGAGCAAGCAAAGCATCGCATTCTTTGTGCAATATTTATCTTCCATGCTTAAAACTCATCAATATGTTTTCTTTTAAATAAATTCGTAATTTATGAATTTGTCTATGTTTCTTTCCGCAAATTTGAGGATAAAATTTTGTTATAAATCAAAATGTGTAACAGAAAGAGTAATATCGAATGTATTACATCAAATTTAAATTTCTCCAACAAAACTGAGAAATTTCGGAAGTAAACAATTAATAAATAGATTGCTATGCCATGCAAATGTTAAATATTCTGGTAAATAACAACTGTTCTTTTTTTCTTGCATTTATCGATGCTAATTATGTAAAAATAAACTTTTTAAAAGAATGTAAGATTAGCATTTTAATTCATTTTAATTATTTTCAAAAGTAGAAATATAGCTTAGTTGTAATTTCGGTATAATTTCATTCATTACAAACACTTATTCCTCTAAATTCGATTATTGCTAACATTACGTTATCTTCACAGGAAGATAAAAGTGCAATAGACAATGCATTTTGAAAGTTTACGGATAAGTAACATTTATTTCAATTGTTTTATTTACAGTCCTCACTATGTGACAAATTACTGACATAATTTGCAATATGCATCTTTAGCTAATAATGTATATTTCTTAAAATTGCGCTGAAATTAGCTGCAAATTTAGCGTTTATTTAGTAACGAAACGATGATTCGACCAATGTACGAAAATGAAGCAATTGAAATGTCGAGTTTTGACGATATCACCGGTGCCTCAAACAGGTAATGGATGAAACTTCATTCTAGCGATGAGCATTAGCTCAAGCTTTTCATGTAGATAACACTTGCAGATTTATCTTCTGTTAAAGTTGTCAAGTTTCATCCATTAAGCAACTCTTTAAATTTTCACTTTCAAATAATTATAACGAAAATTTTGCTCATTTTAAAAATATCTTTACATTCGAAATATATTTGCAGATTTGCAGCAAATTATAATGATTCGTTAATTCTAAAGTTAAGAATTTGGTGGTGGAATTTAACGAGAAGACAGCGGCAGTTTTATATCAGTTCGTTGTTAATCCTCGTCATATTACTTATATTTGTATTTACAACCATTTCCATGCAGCATAAACCCGTTGATCACTATCAGTAAGCGTATAATTAAAATTTAAAATTGTAAAGATTTTTAGTTTTAAATCTTAATTTTTTTGATTTTTTATTCTTCCGTATGATGCTTTTATTGATTTATTGTAAATGAGTTAATAAAATAAATCAGAAAGATACAAATAATTTGATTTTTTAAAAACGTTTGGAGAATACTTAAGTGTAATTTCAAATGAAGAGAATGCTTTTTTATTCTGGATGAATTTATAATTTTCGATAATGAGGAATAGTTTTTAGGACCTCAACAACAACTGCATTTACAACAATAGTAACAATATCGTCGTCGTCTTCGACAACAGTCCCATCGTCCATGTTAACAATTACAACAAACACTTCTACTTCTACAATGTAAATTTCGAGTATTTTCTTAATTACACAAATAAATGATTCAGCACGTTTCATCCTGTCCATTTAGTTTTTTTGTATGTATTGGAAATTATGGCTTAATTACCAATTATTCAATTTTCTTCACTGTCGTTCTTATACCAACATGTGAGACTATGTATTACATCCTATAGTTTCATCCAGCTGTTTACATATTTGGATCTTTTAGGACTGCTACAGCAACGATTCCGTCGATGACATCGGTGACTCCAATGATCACTTCCATGACTCCGACTCAACCATCAGTTTTGAAAGAAAATTCATCGATAATGGTGTAAACAGTATTTTAAAAACGATAAATTCGGTGCCCACAAAAACGACAAATTCATTAGAAATGATAAAATATTAGTAATATAAATGACATTTCTACTCACCCCTATCATACACCGTCAAGAAAGCACTATTGTAAGCCATCCGATTATAGAAAATAGGAAGCTATTTCCTGTTTTTCCTGAGAATTCATCATAATTGTTCAGTTCTTTTCAGTTAGACTTTTCAATTGGCTTAACGTTCAATTTTTCAGGCAACTTTATAGAGATCAGTAATTAAATTAAAGTTATTCTCATAAAATTACACTCGAAAGCTTTCCGAGTTCAGTTTGGCATTAATCGCCGAATAATTTGGTGGGATAAATTTTGATAAATCTAAAATTAAGTTGCGTTTAATTAAAAAACAAAAGCCCATAACTATGTGACCAGTTTGTAAACTCGCCACTTTTGTTCAGTTCATTGCGATCGATTTCAGGAATGATGCACTGAAATTATTGTCATGCGTACAGGGCTTTCAGTATTTCTGTTTATAATCGCTTAAAAACTAAAATTTATTTTTATTTAATAAAATCCGAAGTAAGACAGTGAACTGAGTTGTTTTGAAATACGTTTTTGTTCTTAAAAAAAATGTTTTTAGGATAAAAATCGACAGCGAACTGAGAAAATCATTAACCATAGCAAATAATGATTTGCGAATAAATATGCAGATAAAAATGAATTCATTTGACAGTTCCGTAATAAAAATTAAAAAAAATTTTTGAAAAACATTGATGGGGCAACAAAGTAAAAGTTAGAAGTGAGAATAAAAAAGTGTGAACCACTCTATTTGTTGAACCTAAATACAACCTCGTAATGGATTTTTAAAGTGAAATACCAGTGCATTCAGGAAGTTAAAAAATACTCGAAACAATAACAGCTATTATTCATTACATATGACTGGGTCCTGGTACTCCTTCTTCATCACTCCAATGATCTTCTTGCAATTTCGAAACTTTTTCCAACTGTCGATCTGGGAGCTGCTCGTCCATATCTGGACTCCAAATATGTATCATGCGATCATTTCCCGAACTGATAACCTGGATAATAGATATCTCTAGTAATTCGCCAAAACTGATGATTTAACATACTCCCATACTTCTTAAATAGATTCAAAACATTCTAATTTTTTAAATAGTTAAAGGACCTTCACTAAAACCCCACCTTCCGTTGGTCTAAATTAAAAAATGTTTCATGTTTGAAGATATTGAATGTACTACGTCCCAACCTGATTATACTTTTGGCGATATACACATGCGTTAACTCGTTGAAAATGACCCACAAGAAGGACGCGAAAATTTTCCTGATCCTGCTTATCCAGAGTTAAAATAAGAACCTCATCACCCACAGGAGTGCAAGTTCGTAATACTCCATCATCCGAACAGATGTCGAAACGAATAGATGGAGCAATTTTGGTAGTATATTCCTGAGGCAACTAAAAAAAATTCAAATTGCCAAAAGATGAAAATTTCCATTTAAACAGAAAGTTGAATTAGCGTGATAAATCAGACTTTCTCAAATTAAAGAAAATTTATAGTACTACAATTTTGGTCAACACAGCGGAAGCTAAAATTTTTTAAAAGTTTCAGATGTTTCGGAGAGAACCATTTCTTTTTAGTAAATATGTTATATAATCAAATTGAAAAGGTAAATTAAAATAATGTTCTGTGTTCTCAGAAATCAAAAAATACCCAAACACGGTTGATTATTTCCATTGTATGAGCTCTCCAAACAGTGAAAGTATGATTTAGTGACAGTGAAACTAGGTACAAGCCATCTTTCGAAAATCTCAAACCGCTAATACATTCAGCACCAGAATCTTTACAGTGACATGAAAACTGGCTAGAAGGCGTCACAGTCATTAAATGGCTTCTCGAACTTCTGCAAATGACTGAATAGATGGAATATGAGTAATATACGAAAGTTGACCAGACAAAAAGGACGTTGCAGCTGCAAAATACCAAAACAAATGAAGATTATTTGGTGCATTATTGAAAAAATTTTAACTAGAAGCGTTGGTTATCTTTCCTACTATTTTTTGCTCACGTGTCCATGTAAGTAGAATACTAAAGTCCTAGAATGTATGCAAAAGTATATTAAACATATTTAAAATAAAAAAAAATCGAAAAATGTTAGCATCGCAGGAAATATAATTGAAAGTTTGTAGATCATGCTAACATGACACAAATGCATCTCAGTTGGAAGACTACCTAAATTAAATGAAGGAAAGTCGAAAACCATTATTACTACAAAATAAATGTCAAGAAATTAATTGTGAATATGTAAAAAAATGACATCGAAATTAAAATTTCGAAATACAATATTAGGAAGAAATTATATAAACTTTCAAAAATATTTAATAAAGGCGTAAAACACCAATCATTATGAAACAACTATCTAAATTTTGAATTTTTTACCTAACGTCCCAAACCGCAATCTTTCCACGAACACAACCAGAAGTTAAAATGTTTCCGTTTTCTAAAGACCATCTCACTGATGAAACCCGCTCATCTGGCCACCTTAAACTCTGTGACGAGTCACCAACTCTGAAAAAACAGCACTGCCGAAAATCTGAATCAATTTCGAAACAAGGAATGTTATGAACTATGCCAAAAATTCTAGCATTACTGAAACGATCAAATTAACAACATTGACTACAATTAAAGCTTATGAATATAAGAAAAAATCAATATAAAAAAGTTTCAATTAATTATGAAATCTTATAACATGAAAAGGATTACTTTTGGCTCTAATGTAAATGACTATTTCAATAATGAAAATAACAGTTTAAGTTTTTGCTTAAGTAGTTGGTAGTAAAAAAAACTACTAATAACACACATCAAACCCACCTCGGATCAATAAGAACGATATTTGAGGTTAAATTTGCTACGGCTATCAGTGGATTTCGCATAAAAGCATTACACCAATGCATTTCAGTTATTTCATGATTGAAGAAATATTCATCTACGACTTCAGATTTATTAGCATCCCATAGCTGAAGTAAATTGTTGCTGTATTACCAAAATTATGAAACCAAAAAGTTAATAGAATTTTAGTTTTAAACTCTTGAAATTTTAAAGTTACTTTATATTGAACTCAGCAATATTGCGTTAATGAATTCAGCGGCTACAACTACCTGATTTCCTACAAGAAAATAATGTTATTTTATGCTCTTTTATTTTTTAGCAGTTCCTGAAGACCATTAGTTATCTCGTTAATCTTTTAAATGTCTTCAAATAGCGAACGGATTTCTGCTAATCATACTTTGCCTCTTGTTTATCAAGCTTTATACTTCCAAAATAAGAAGATATGAATATTGCGAATCAACCTCAAAATTTGTAGTGTACTAAGTATAAACGAATTACACTTGACTTAGTCATAATCCATCAATTAATTTAATTTGAAAAGGATAAAAACCAGCCTTCACTTTTCCAACTCTATCTGACGATACAAATGTACTTGTGTCCTGAGGATACCACTGACAGCACGTTATCAATGATCCATGTAAACTGGAAAGAAAAAATTCCAAATTAGTACCAGGTGCACTTATAAGAAATTAGAGCAAAAGAAAAACATCTACAAAAAGGAAAATATTCACTGAAATAAATTTTTAAGATCATTTCAATAATTTTCATAGAATGAACAGACCATTCTGAGTGACATGGGGTGATGGCATGTTCAACCCGATTCCGGTCATCGATTGGGAACGGCCTTTCCAAGTCCACAATAGATATTTCACCACGGGCTGCACCACACAACAAGCTATAAATTTACTTCATACATTCAAAATTCACGTTCTTCTACATTCATCACTAGGACACAAACAAGTTCTCGAACATTGCGTTTGGTCGAAAAAACAATCCCATAACATAATTTAAATCCCTTCTGAAAACCCAAATAAATTTGCCTGGCTCACCTAAAAAATTTTATTGCATGTAATTAAAAAGATGAGCGGAATAATTCAATGCCAATCTTTAAACAGAAAATTGAGATATATGCAAAAGATTCGATTCTTATATTTCATTTAATAAGATTGGAAAAATGGGTTTTTGAATCAAGGAAAGATTAGAAAACTTACTATCGGTTATCAACGGGATCCACATCCATGCTATGAACTCCTGATGCCAACGACGAGGTAAATGGAACTTGTTGCCGCCAGCTGATCCTAAATATCAGTAAGATGATAACTGGATGCCAAATTTTAAACGTTCGAAATATACTCTAAACTATGCCCTGAGCATCTGGAATCAAATCAACTTGGAAGTCTTAAAAACGATAGATAATTACCTCAGATGTTTCATCCTTTTTTCAATTACATGTCGCTGAAGATCACACTTAAGTAATCCCGGGCGAGCGCTCTTACCCATTATATTGTGCCACAAGAAATAACGTGGTGAAAGACTTGAACCAGGAATGTTTTCTAAATTATATTCTTAATCATATGGGTACCAAAAGTAAAAGATGACATCCATTCTAAAGATAGGTTCTGACGAGAATCAGTTGAAACCCCAGCATTCCAACGCATTTAATAATCAGAAATTTAGCCACCGGCATACGTTTTGATTGTAATGACATTCTCTTATCAGATCATCAAACAGTTTCAGGCAAATTTTAAAAAGAACCGTTGTGTCGCGTGGATATTTTGCCATTTTGCGCAACGACACTGTTATGGGCCTTGAGATCAAACGGAGTTGAAGATGTTCGCTGCAAGTGTTTCTTTCGGTGATGCTGAAATCCCGAATTTTGATCAAAAACATGTTTTGTATGACAGACATCAAATCTCATTCCATTGATTATAGTGACCTATAATCTAGTAAAGAAGCAACAAAAAATTCCATAAAACAACCTGCCGTTAGCTTAGTTTAGTATTACTTATGCAGCTAATAATTCCTCGGTAATGGGAAGAAAATCATAAAGAAAATTCTTTACCTTGCTGGAGATCATACGTGCTTCTCTGTTTTTATATGAATCGGCCGTGAATGTTTGTTAATCTTTTCAAATCATTTTTTCTCACTTATGCCGAAATATTTCACAATACTTATTTAATACATATTTTAAAAGCGAATAAGAATTCATGCAGCGAATAAATGAAATTAACAGAATGTATTATACAACGCATAAACGCCAGAAATTCCTTAACGTCAGGCTTCAGCTACTCCGTTTACCAATATTTGAAATTAGACTTAAGCATTCTCTAAACATTTTTAAAAAATCAAATTATTTGTATCTTTCTGATTTACTTTACCAGTTCATTTACAACAAGCCACACCAATCCCACCCGTTGGCACGCCTGCCTTCTCTTGTGCTCTACGCGACTGTTCGACATTCTCTGCCTTCCATAACCTCATGTATTTCCGTTTGTGTGAAACACTCTGTACACGTTATATTTATATCTCCGTTCGAGTTGCAATTTTTTTAGGAACATAGTTTCCGCTAAATTTCTCGATCGTATTCCGGTGGGTTGTGATTCGGGAATTTATATGGAAGTATTTCTGAAATAATCTACTTTATCACAGCCTTTACAATTTCGACGATACTGCTGAGTTAGAATGAAAATTTATTTTAAAAGATAGGGATGAAGCCTTTTAAATTTCGAAATATCAAAATTATAGATTAAAATCTGCGACGATACTTATTCACTATTGCAAGAGGAAATGGAAAATTAATAGAAAATCCACTTTTTATCAATTATTGATTGTTTAGTTATCTGAATTTTGATCTTAATATAATTTGAATTTTCATAAATTCAATATGATCGGTGAAATTTCGCAGATAGAATGTAACTAATAATTTTTTTCACCATTTTTTTTAAGCGCGAGAGGAAATTGAGTAAGAAAAGTGATTTTCTAATCATTTTTTATCACATTTTCATTAGGACAACCAATATTCATTTAATTTTTGACTTAAATTCAGTTTAATAAAATAAAAATTAGAAATTTAGTTCATAATTAATTAAATACCAAAAAGTGAATTGAAATTTAGAATAAAAAATAGTCATCACTTGAATTTTATGCTTTATTTTATCTTTCAAAAAAACGTTTACGTCAGATTAATGCCATATGTCAAATCAAAAAGAGCCGTTAATAAACAAACCCTTATATAAGCGTATAACAAATAAATGAAACTTAATGCATTTCTTCCTTCATTTGAGTATACCTCTTAAAATCTATACAGTATAGCCTATTTATTTCTATTAAATGTTTTCAGGGCAAAAGTTAAATCACATTAGATGTGCCATTAAGGTAAGAGCAATTGAGAAATGTTACATTATTAGAGGATAGATTACTATCAGTGGAAACGTTGACAGGTGAAAATATGCAAGCGTAGGGTCACTACAATAGGATTAGTATTATATGAAAATAACAATAGCAATCTCAGAAACATTTCATGGTGGTAATGTATGATTTATGTTTAAAAGTATAACTATGCGCTCTAAATCAATGAGAAAACAATTTTTAAGTTATTCAAAACAAAAAGTGCAACAAATCGGGAAATTAAATAAGTATTTACTCTCATTCGGGGCAACCTTACAAACATTTCTCGGTGAAGAAAAAGCAAAGAAATAAGCTCTTAATAAGTGCAAACTTCTAATATAGCATTTGTTTGCTGAAAATTAAAATTCATCAGTGGAACAAAGATGGTTACTTTGTTGAATAAAATTTAGCTTAATTTATAAACAATGCTTTTAAAAATTTTCATCCTATAGTTTCATGCAATTCAAAGTTTATATAATTCATTTATATGGCATTTACATAGAAAGTAATTATTAGATTAAATATTAAATTAATCTTTTATTTTCTAATTTTACACAACCATATGCAATTTGAGAATTGTAATCATAGGCTGAAACAAAGAAAGAAAACAAAAAAAGGATGCCAAGAAAAGGTCTGTGTTTGTTGAGCTCTGCTGGCAATAAATATTCAAATCGAAAATGTTATTTTTTTTTAGAGAACAAATAATGTGAATTTTTATGAAAATTTGATGGAATTATCGAGATTTGACGAAATTTCTTATTTACTTAATTTAAAGTTCAAATTTTGTTAAAATGTGACATTCGTAGTAGTTCACATTAGGAATAAATGATAGTATAAGTTTATCTATTTTTTATATTTTCTTCTTTTTTGTTTCTAAAAGCGTCGATTGCTGATATATTGCCGGATGACATATTGCATTTGCGGTGCACGCCATTGTGGTGCCATATGTCCTGCACCGCGAACAGTTAGGAATGTTAGACCTTTGTAGACAGTCTTAAAACCAGCTATCTGAGAATTGAACATCCATGGTTCTTTACTTTTTTTCTTCTGCAAAATCAATGTTTTGCATCAAAAGAAGATGAACAAAATCAAATGCATGAAAAATCCATGAAAATGAATGAATGATTGTGGAGTGTATCTTATATCACCCTATCATTAGCATATAATTTGCATCGATAATTCATTAAATGCATTAAACATTGTTAATTAATATAAGATGTAGTAAGAATACCGGTAAATTGAGTGAAGCAGAAAATTGTTGTCCCATAATAAAGTTGCATGCCATATCAGTGTCACCATAATATAATAGCACTCTAACGCCTCCGTTGATTATTTCCTTTATGAAAGGTGCCATATCGTTGTATATTTTCTTATAGCTCATTGTGATCTGTAAAATAATTGAAAGAAATCAAATCGAATTGTAGAAAAAAATCCAAATTTAATTTAAATCACTTGAAAAAGTTTGAGTTTACATTTGTGACTACCTCATCGCTACACACATCCCATCGAGACAAATGCTTTGGGATATATAGCGCATTGCGCACTTCCGCCCTATTCATATATTGGATGAATGCTGAATCATTCAGACAAGGTACATCTCCGCCAATCGAAGTAGTTTGCTAAAATGATAAGTAAATGATGTAAATTTTGCAAGATTTTATATTAATAAAAATGATTTTTAGCTTACAACATTTTAATTATAAAAGAAAGCAATTTGGAATTTTCAAAATTCAAAATAAATCACATTCTTCGATAAAAAAGCTGAAATATATTAGTTAAATCTAAATATAGATGTAAACTTTTTACTTTAGAATTATACAAATAAACTTACTCTCAAATTAGACAAAACAGAGATATTCAATGATTTTTGCTTTATCATTGGTTTATTATTTTTAAACAAACTAAAAGTTGAAGTGGTAAGGCCAAATTTCACAGCGCGTATTCGAGCTTTGTTTAATTTCGCATTTGAATCACAATCACGATATAAATCGTATGGATTTAGACCACCAGACCAAATAAATCGGAAAATTTTTCGAACCTTAAAAAAATTTCTGTTCTAAATTGCAAAAAATTAGTACAATAATAAAATTAAGCTAAACATAAATTTATCGTTCATAAACTGATGATCTAATAGCTTTTTAAGATATCACTAAATGATTCCATTTCTCACCTTACGGAATAATAATAATAATAATAATAATAATAATAATAATAATAATAATAATAATAATAATAATAATAATAATAATAATATAAAAAATTAGTAGTCTAAAAATAGATTTAAAAAACATTTTCTAAAAAAAAGTAAAAGAAGCTCTTCCCTCGCTTATA